CCATGGACATCGGGGGTCTGGAGACCGTGGTGGCCAACTCGGCCTACGTGTCGGCGCGCGGCGGCCCCGGCGGCGGCAAGGAGCGGCGCTCCAAGGCGCGGCTCCGCCTGCCCCACATCTCCCAGTGCGAGGCCCTGCGCGCCCAGCTGGGCGGCACCGCCGGCACCCAGAACGGGGGTCCCGGAGCCCCCAACGGCGCCCCGCCCGGCCACACCCAAGATGGCGGCCAGGAGACGTCGTTCCGGTGGCAGTGCGTGGAGCAGCCCATCGGGAAGCTGCTGTTCCGGAGGTTTCTGGAAGGTTCCGCCCAGTTCGCGGCGGCCGGGGCGTTGTGGGCGGAGATCGAGGCCTTCGAGCAGTGCGAGGACGCCGAGAGGGAGGCGGCGGCCAAGAGGCTGCGGAGCCGGTTCTTCACGCCGGGAGGGTCCGAGCACTGCGGCTTCCTCAGCGCCGCCGCCACCGCGCCGCCCGCAGGTGAGGGCGGTGGGGAGCGGTGACAATATGGCGGCCGTGACATTGACATGGCTGACACGGCTCCAATATGGCAGCCGTGACGTTGACATGGCTGACAAGGCTCCAATATGGCAGCTGTGAGATTAATATGGCTGACAAGGCTCCAATATGGCGGCCGTGAAATTAACATGGCTGACAAGGCTCCAATATGGTGGCTGTGAAATTGACACAGCTGGCAAGGCTCCAATATGGCGGCCATGACGTTGACATGGCTGACAAGGCTCCAATATGGCAGCTGTGAGATTAATATGGCTGACAAGGCTCCAATATGGCGGCCATGACGTTGACATGGCTGACACGGCTCCAATATGGTGGCTGTGAAATTGACACAGCTGACAAGGCTCCAATATGGCGGCCATGACGTTGACATGGCTGACAAGGCTCCAATATGGTGGCCGGGAATTTAACATGGCTGACAAGGCTCCAATATGGCAGCTGTGAGATTAATATGGCTGACAAGGCTTCAATATGGCAGCCGTGAAATTTAAATGGCTGNACACGGCTCCAATATGGTGGCTGTGAAATTGACACAGCTGACAAGGCTCCAATATGGCGGCCATGACGTTGACATGGCTGACAAGGCTCCAATATGGTGGCCGTGAAATTGACAAGGCTGACACGGCTCCAATATGGCAGCCATGACGTTGACATGGCTGACAAGGCTCCAATATGGCAGCTGTGAGATTAATATGGCTGACAAGGCTCCAATATGGCAGACACAGTGCCAATATGGTGGACATGACGTCAGCATGGCTGCCACAAAGATGGTATTGGCTGCCATGACACCTCACCAGCGGCCATGACACTCCAATGGCGGCCATGATGCTGTTGGCAGCCATGACACTCCAACAGCAGCCATGATGGTATTGGCAGCCATGACACCCCAGTGGCAGCCATGACACCCCAACCATGTCCATGACAATCTTGGCAGCCATGACACCCCAACAGCAGCCATGACACCCTAACCATGTCCGTGATGACTTCGGCAGCCATGGCACCCCAATGGCGGCCATGATGGTATTGGCAGCCATGACACCCCAATGGCGGCCATGACACCCCAACAGCAGCCATGATGGTATTGGCAGCCATGACACCCCAGCGGCAGCCATGACACCCCAACCATGTCCGTGATGACTTCGGCAGCCATGGCACCCCAATGGCGGCCATGATGGTATTGGCAGCCATGACACCCCAATGGCGGCCATGACACCCCAACAGCAGCCATGATGGTATTGGCAGCCATGACACCCCAATGGCGGCCATGATGGTATTAGCAGCCATGATACCCCAATGGTGGCCATGCCACCCCAACCATGTCTGTGATGACTTTGGCAGCCATGACACCCCAATGGCGGCCATGATGGTATTGGCAGCCATGACACCCAATGGTGGCCATGACACCCTAACCATGTCCGTGATGACTTCGGCAGCCATGACACCCCAATGGCGGCCATGATGGTATTGGAAGCCATGACACCCTGACGGCAGCCATGACACCCCAACAGCAGCCATGCCACCCCAGCCATGTCCATGACGACCTTGGCGGCCATGACACCCCTAACCCTCCCCGCTGCCCCGCAGGCTCCACGCTCCCGTGCGACGCCTTCGTGCCGGCGCGGCGGGAGCTGCTGGCGCACCTGGAGGCGGCGGCCTGGGGGCCGTACCGGGGCTCGCCCGAGTTCAGCCGCTTCGTGCAGTTCAAGTGGCTCGAGAGCCAGGCCGTCAACGCCGACGCCTTCGTGGAGTTCCGCGTGCTGGGCAAGGGCGGCTTCGGCGAGGTCTGCGCCTGCCAGCGCCGCGCCACCGGCAAGATGTACGCCAACAAACGCCTCAACAAGAAGCGCCTCAAGAAGCGCAAGGGATACGAGGTGGGTGTCCCCAAGGTGTCCCCAAGGTGTCCCCAAGGGTGTCCCCAAGGGTGGCCCTTTGTCCCCTCTGCCCATGGCTGTTCCTCGGAGCGCTCAGATGTTCCTCTGTCCTCAAATTCACCCCTCGGTCCTCTCAGTGGTCCCTCTGACCCCACTCGGTCCCCTTGGATGTCCCTGTGTCCCCAAATCTGTCCCTCAGTTCCCAAATCTGCTCTTCTGTCCCCAAATCTGTCCCTCTGTCCCCTCGGATGTCCCCTCAGTCCCTGTGTCTGTCCCTTGGAGTGTGCCACCTGGGCGTCCTTGACAATTCCCTGTCCCTGTCCCTGTCCCTGTCCCTGTCCCTGTCCCTGTCCCTGTCCCTCTCCACATGTCCCTGTGTCTGTCCCTTGGTGTGTGCCACCTGCTTCTCCTTGGCAATTCCATGTCCCTGTCCCTCTCCACACATTGTGTCCATGGTGGTGCCATCCCATGTCCCCAACGTGTCCCCAACGTGTCCCCACCGTGTCCCCAGGCGGCGCTGGTGGAGAAGCGGATCCTGGCGCGCGTCCACAGCCGCTTCATCGTGTCCCTGGCCTGCGCCTTCCAGACCAAGACCGACCTCTGCCTCGTCATGACCATCATGAACGGCGGCGACCTGCGGTACGCGGCTGCGGTGGCCTTGGGGACAGCGGGGTGGCCTCGGGGTGGCCTCAGGGTGGCTTTGGATTGACCTTGGTGTGACCCTGGTGTGATCTTGGTGTGACCCTGGCGTGGCCTTGGAGTGGCCTTGGCACGGTCTGGCGTGGCCTTGGTGTGACCCTGGTGTGACCTTGATGTCACCCTAATGTAACTTTGTTGTGGCCTTGATGTCACCCTGGTGTGACCTTGATGTGGCCTTGAGGTGACCCTGCATGGCCTTGGCATGGCTTTGGTGTCACCTTGGTATGGCTTTGGTGTCACCTTGGTGTGACCTTGATGTCACCCTGGTGTGTCTTTGACGTGACCCTGGTGTGACTTTGATGTGACCCTGGTGTGACCTTGCCATGGCTTTGGCGTCACCTTGGTGTGACCCTGCTGTGACCTTGGCACAGTGCTGGTGCCACAGATGTTGATCGTGTCCCCGCCGTGTCCCCACGTGTCCCCAGTGTCCCCAATGGCCCCGATGTCCCCGATGTCCCCAATGTCCCCAATATTGGCGATGGCCCCAATGTCCTCAATGTCCCCAATGTCCCCGATGTCCCCGATGTCCCCAATGTCCCCGATGTCCCCAGGTACCACATCTACAACGTGGACGAGGAGAACCCGGGCTTCGCGGAGCCGCGCGCGGTTTTCTACACGGCGCAGATCCTGCTGGGGCTGGAGCACCTGCACCAGCACCGCATCGTCTACCGCGACCTCAAACCCGAGAACGTCCTGCTCGACGACGCCGGTGGGGACACGGGGACACTGGGGGGACAGGGGGACACTGGGGGCATTGGGGACACTGGGGGCATTGGGGACATTGGGGATATTGGGGATATTGGGGACTTTGAGATATTGGGGATGTTGGGGACATTGGGGACATTGGGGCATTTGGGGACATTGGAGATATTGGGGACAGTGGGGACATTGGGGGTATAGGGGGGATTGGGGGGATTGGGGACATTGGAGAATGTGGGAAATTAGGGGGACATAGGGACATTGGTGGTCACTGTGGTCACTCTGGTCACTGGTGGTCACTGTGGTCACCGGTGGTCACTGTGGTCACTGATGGTCACTGGGGTCGCTGGTGGTCAGTGATGGTCACTGTGGTCACTGTGGTCACTGGTGGTCACTGTGGTCACTGGTGGTCCCCAACGTCCCCTGTCCCCCCCAATGTCCCCTGTCCCCCAACGTCCCTGTCCCCCAGGGTTCATGGCCCCCGAGCTGCTCAAGAACGAGGACTACGATTGGTCGGTCGATTACTTCACGCTGGGGGTGACGATCTACGAGATGCTGGAGGCCAAGGGCCCCTTCCGCCGGCGGGGGGAGAAGGTGACCCCCGCCCCCAGAGCCCCCCAGCACCGCCCAGTAACCCCCAGTACAGCCCAGTAACCGGGGGGACCCCCAGGAACCCCAAGGAACATCTGAGAACTTCCAAAAACCTCTCAAGGACCACCAGGAACTCCCCAAAATTCAGCTCAGGGCCCCCAGAAACCTCCCAGGACCCTCAGAAACTCCCAAAAACCTCCAAGAATCCCCCCAGGACCTTCAGAAACTCCAAAATTTCCAATAAACCCCCAAAGAATTCCCCAGGATCTTCAGAAACTTCCAAAAACCATCAAGAAACCCCCCAGGACCCTCAGAAAATCCCCCAAAACCTCAAAGAAACTCCCCCAGTCCCTCAGAAAACCCCAAGAACCTCCAAGAATTCCCCCCAGGACTTTCAGAACCCTCCAAGGACCTCCCAAAAATCCCTGAGGACCTTCAGAACCCCCAAGATCCCCCAAGAACTCCCCCCAGGACCTTCAGAACCCACCAGGTCCCCAACGATCGGGACCCCCAAGGACCCCCCACCACGTTTTATTTCCCCTCAGGTGGAGAACAAGGAGGTGACGCGGCGCATCCTGAACGACCCCGTGACCTACTCGGAGAAGTTCAGCGCGGCGGCGCGCGAGGCCTGCGAGGGGCTCCTGGCCAAGGACCCCCAGGCCCGCCTGGGCTTCCGCGACAACGACTGCGCCCAGCTGAAGGCCCACCCCTTCTTCGGCAGCATCAACTGGGGGCGCCTCGAGGCCGGTAACGCCCGCGGTGGGGCGGGCAGGGGTCTCCAGGGGGGCAAGGGGTGGGAAATGGGGTCTCCAGGGGGTGGTGGTCACGGAGATGGGGCTCAGTGGGGTGTTGGGTGGTCAAGGGTTGGGTCTGCAGTGGGTTTTGGGGTCTCCATTGGGTTTTGGGATCTCCAATGGGTGTTGGGTGCTCATGGTGATGTCATTGATTGTTGGGTGGTCAAGAGTTGGGGTCTGCAGTGGGTTTTGGGGTCTCCAGTGGGTTTTGGGGTGTCCAGTGGGTTTTGGGTGCTCATGTTGTTGTCTCCATTGAGTGTTGGGTGGTCAAGAGTTGGGGTCTCCAGTGGGTTTTGGGGCCTCCATTGGTTTTTGGGGTCTCCAGTGGGTTTTGGGGTCCCCCAAGGAGGGTCAAGGGTTGGGAAATGGGGTCTCCAGGGGGTGGTGGTCACGGAGATGGGGCTCAGTGGGTGGTTGGGTGGTCAAGGGTTGAGGTCTCCATTGGGTTTTGGGGCCTCCAGTGGGCATTGGGTGCTCATAGTGGTGTCTACAGTGGGTGTTGGGTGGTCAAGAGTTGGGGTCCCCATTGGGTTTTGGGGTCTCCATTGGGTTTTGGGGCCTCCAGTGGGTTTTGGGTGCTCATGGTGATGTCTCCATTGAGTGTTGGGTGGTCAAGGGTTGGGTCTGCAGTGGGTTTTGGGGTCTCCATTAGGTTTTGGGGTCTCCAATGGACGTTGTGTGCTCATGGTGGTGTCTACAGTGGGTGTTGGGTGGTCAAGGGTTGGAGTCCCCATTGGGTTCTGGGGTCTCCAGTGGGTGTTGGAGGTCCAGCAATGGGGTTTCCACTGAGGGTCGGGAGCCGTGGGCTGAATTTTGGGGAGTTCCTGGTAGTCCTTGGGAGGTTCTGGGGAGGTTTCTGGAAGTTCTCAGATGTTCCTTGGGGTTCCTTGGGGTTCCTGGCGTTTCCTGTGATTACTGGACCAAACTGGGCTATACTGGGCTGTACTGGGAGGTTTCTGGGAGCCCTGGGCTGAATTTTGGGGAGTTCCTGGTGGTCCTTGAGAGGTTTTTGGAAGTTCTCAGATGTTCCTGGGGGTTCCTGGGGGTTCCCCTGGTCACTGGCCCATACTGGGCCATACTGGGCCTACCGAGCGTCTCTCCGATTGCACCCCAAAACCAACGGGGTGTCCTCCCCCCCCCCAAGGCCTGGTGCCCCCGCCGTTCGTGCCGGACCCCCGGCGCGTGTACGCCAAGGACCTGGGCGACGTGGGGGCCTTCTCCACGGTCAAGGGCGTGGAGCTGGACGCGGGGGACGCGGCGCTGTGCGACGCCTTCGCCTCGGGCACCGTCCCCATCCCCTGGCAGGAGGAGCTGATCGAGACCGGCGTCTTCGAGGAGCTCAACGTTTGGGGGGCCCCGGGGACGCTGCCCCCCGACCTGGACCCCAGCGCCGCGGGGGGGGCCGGCGGGGGCAAGTCCTCCACCTGTCATCTGCTCTGAGAGGGGTTGAACCCCAAAATTTTGGGGGGACTCCATCTCTGGGAGTGGGATTGCACCCCAAAATTTGGGCGGGGCTCCATCTGCTGAGAGCGGGATTGCACCCCAAAATTTTGGGGGGTAACTCCTTCTGTCATCCGCTCTGAGAGGAGTTGAACCCCAAAATTTTGGGTGGTAACTCCACATGTCGGTTGCTGTGAGGGGGGAGGCACCCCAAAATTTTGGGGGGTAACTCCAGTTGTCATCTGTTGTGAGACGGGTTGAACCCCAAAATTTTGCAGTGGGACTCCACTTATCACCTGCTGTGAGCAGGATGGCACCCCAAAATCTGGGGGGACTCCATCTGCTGAGAGTGGGATTGCACCCCAAAATTTTGGGAGTACCTCCATCTGCTGGGAGTGAGATTGAACCCCAAAATTTTGGAGGGGGAGGGACGGGGAATGTTGGGGGCTCTAAAAGTGGGGGGCTCCATCCCGAAGGAGCTTGAAAGTGGGGGACCCCCCCCCCCTTG